CTGTACTATAGATATACAATATACATTGTATTAACATACACTATATGAGATATTGATTGTGTTCCTCTGGGCTTGTTTAAATTATCACAGGCAGATGATGAAATTATCTAACTTACATATAGCAAATCTGTAGGATTTTACAATGTCACAATAGTTGACAATGTTAATAATGATAACATGATGATTTTAGGTTAACAATGATGACACTATTTAAATTTATTTCTTTTTGATGTCACCTATGGATGATAATTCGCTGAATGATATAATTACGTCGCTATGAGGTGTCTAAAAGGACAAAATCGAGCAACAAATTGTAAATATACATAGATTATGTTAAAAATAAAATTATTCAAGAAGAGATTTTCTATATAATATTTCTGCGTTAAATATTTTTTGCTTTATTGATTTTACGCGAACCGATTAACGTCCTCATTAAGTAGGTCATACATAAATAAACTGCTTTAACGCCGACAGCATCATGGAGTTAATATTAAAAATATAAATTACATGATTCAATAAATTAACACTTCCAGAGAAACAAGAAATCAAATAAAAAGTGTTGGTTTTATTTTATATTTTATTCACTTTAATTAGATTTATTTTGTATTGACTTGTAGCGAAACTTTTCTTAATAAACAACAATAGGTATATGCTTTATCTCCTTTTGCATTTCCCATACATTTTATGCTGGTGTATCTGTTTGAAGGATTGAGATCAGTCGACGAGTAAAACACTTATAGAAGGAGATCGTGAATGTGAAAAGTATTCTGTTTTGTGTTGAGTAGCGCAGAGAAAATTTAGTGATATTTCAGATTATTTATAATAACATTTGTGATTTTAACGTGAATCATATTTTTCTTTTCCGATGTGATAGTTTATCTTGCATATTTATTCTTTATTATGGTGATACGGAGAGATGGTTTGATTTTTGGAATTCTCGTATTTTTTTTAATGGTTCAGTAATATTATTTTATCAGCTTCAATGCAAGTGTTGTTACCTAATTCTTTTCAAGTTGAATTTGTAATTCCCTGTTTTCATCAACAAAGAGACGGATTTGCATTGTATTTGACTATCCTTAGTCATAATTATATTTAAGCTGAAGATATTTTTGAATTGATAAATGTTTCTTTTATATTTTTGTATGATTATTAACAATTATAGAATAAATTTACTAACTATTTATTTTATTTGTTTTGAATCTTAATGATAATATTTTTTTAATTAAACGTTTAATAATAATAATTAATAAAATGATTTGTTAAATACCTATGTTATAGGAATGACAAAGTTTTTGCATATTTTCCAAGACTTTTTTAATTCGTCTCTCTAAACTTTTGCCTCGCTAAAGTTGCGATGTGTCTATATAACTCTCTGTTCCTGTCTAAGGCAGCCTCCTATTTGTACAGTGGAGTGCTCTATTTGATCAATGAACTGTTGTCAACAATGAATTCCGCTCTACTAGAATTCATTCAAGTCAATACTAACACTATATATAAGCTTATTAAGATACTATACTTTATTTTTATATATTTTGAATAATAGAAATTAAGAAATGATAAATTGTTATGTATAACTTGTTATGTAAGTATATTTTTGTGGAGGAATTCTCTATAATGAACCAAACACTACATGATTAGGAAATACACAGACACCGGAAATGGGAATCGTTCACTGTAAAATATGATCCGCACGGAACGTGCGTTTCCATTTAGGGTTGGAGATGTTATTATGTATCTAGGTATAGAATATAGTATTTGTAGAACATTCCATCACTGTGTAAATTATTTTCGAACCCTCGCGAACTGCACAAATTAATTTTAACTGATTTATCGGACCGACAGTTGCCGCACTCCGGATCAATCGAGACCGACGCTTATTGATAAACGGATTTTTATTACAGTCTGAACTGATGCGTCCCTAACAAGATTACTACCGACCGAGGAACGAGTGGGGTTCATTATACAGGGGGCAGAGACGAAAATTAAACAACACACAAACATGAACACGGCCATGGTCCAAATTAAACGATCGTTTATTGAAAAGCTGTTAGTATTATTAGTTTCAAAGCTTCGTCTGTTCAGGTAACTCAATATATATTTCTATGTTTACAATAAGGAACGATCCATTTATAACTTTCTTTTCTTTATACGCACAAAGCTTTCACAATACTTCTACTAACTTTAATAGTTCCTTAAATGTTCTGTTACTTCACGTAATACATTTTTATTATTTCGATTCATCTTTTTAAAGACGTCATTGTTTGAATTTCTGTTTTGTATAAAAATGCAAGAGCATATTATTACCTGCCTAATAGTCGTTTTCTTTGTATATTTTATTAAAGAGCGGACTTTAAAAATCCTTGTTATATTGTATGTATTGTGAAATTCAAATTATTTATTTTCAAGCTCATTAGCGGAATGATAATCTTACTAATAACTGCTATGGTTTTGTTCAATATTATTTGTTCATACTACTTAAGGACTTATGGTATTTTACAGTAATGTAGCTTCGACATGAGAATAAGACAATAACTGCGGTTTCTTAGCACATACCACAGATGTCGCTACTTGTTGCTATATGTATTAACACTTAACTTTCCCTCTTTAAGAAAAACCAGTATTTAATATACCAAAAAAGGCAATCTTAGATGTCTTATACATTCATAATATTTATAATAAACCATTTACTAAATATTTATTTATGTTTCAGTCGCTATTTCTTCGTCGGCTGTTTCCTGTTTTGCTGTTACTTGTTAATTGTATTATTTTTTCTGATTTTTGCATTTCTATTTCTTTCCTTGAAACTAAATTTAATTTTACCTCCGTCTTAATCCCACTCGATCTAGATAAATGCGTCAGCTCTTATAAAACATATTATTTTAGTTTTTTTGTTATGTCTAAAAATTACTGACTCATTATTGTTTATTTTATGCCTAATTAGCATTGGACTGAATTAGACTGCTTTGCAAACTATTATTTGAAAAACAATTTTTAATTAGTGTTATTTTTATTACGTATTTATGTAATTATTTTCGCTGTTTTTAATTTTAGTCTGAGTTACAATAATAGCCATAATAAGTGATTTTATTTACACAATAAATGATTTTCATCATTTAAAATCCTACCTCTTATTACTTTACTAATTAAAATTTAAACTCTACTTAGTCTTAATATGATCGATTCAAGAATTGAACCGAATAAAGAAAGAAATGTTATTTTAATACTTATAGTATGTTATACTTTTTGATTGATTTGAACTGTATACAGGGTGACTGGTGAATTACTATCAATATTTAAGGAGAATACTCGGTACATGATTCTCATTCGAATTATGTAAAAAAAATAGGCACTTAATTTTTGACAAAATTTCCGTATAAATAAAGTGTTGACACGTTCCAAGTGTGGACGCGTGCGGCGGCGTGCTGATACAACACCACGCCGCCAAACGCGTATGTGTGAGTGTGTGTGTATACCTAATCTGTAGGGTGTGCACACGATGCGTAATTAATTACATAACTTTTGGTTAACTTTACTTAGAAGTTTATTAATATTTATGTTATATTAATTTTTATTTGGTCCAAATATGATCGTCAAATATCACGTCCTCAACTATCGATAGTAATTCACCAGTCACCCTGTATATTAGGAGCCTTGTAGTAAAGTCACAAGATGGATTAATATGCTCTTAGCAAGTTCAATAAATGTATACTAATGTATATTATTATGGGAAAGGTTTATAAAATAAATTATTACGACATTTATTACGTTTATTAGCATCACTACAGTGTTTTGGTAATTGACACACACGAAGACGTGCCACCGAAATATTACAAGCCATGAGTTATACGGAACCATAGACGGGACAGAGTACGTATAGTACTGTATTATAATTATACATACATACATGTATAGTATAACCATTTAATGTATACAGAGAGAGTGGGGGGCAAAGTGAGGAGTGGGGGGAAGCATTTAACATTCATTAACTACAGATATATCAATATGTTGCATCTACTGTCTGAGATCAAACAACAGTTAAAGTTTAACACATACAGACAGAGCGGCGACGTTAAAACATACATATAACAACCCTGTTGTTACTTACATTGATACCGGAATAAATATTAACATCTATATATGATGAGTATTGAACATACAGTGTGACCGTCGCCTTACAGTCATTATCATTACAACATTTAATATTTATTAATAGACAGTTATGTATAGAACATATTTGTTGGCTGAAGATATACATCGAATAAATAATATATGCTTAACAACTGTTTGAGATACAGGTTAAACCTACTTCAAAATTCCTGTTGCTAAATATTGCTGTACAAACTGATTTGAACAACAATTTTTTTTTAACTGCTGTTAACATATATATACACATATATATGTTATATTCATCGTAAGTACATGACAGTAAGCAATACCTCAGCAACATACAGTGTATTCTGAATTATGACTATTACAATATTAACACACGGATACAGCTACGTACATGTCCATCTATATATTATACCACAACATAATATATATCAAGTTGTAATCTACAAACAACTACAACATCTAGCCCGGTTGTAACAACTGTTAACAACTCTCGGTGTACAGACATATTACATACATAGAGACATTTTGAACATATAGATTCTGTGTATCGACTTACTACCTACAAACATATAGACCAAGGATCACACACGTGTTGATACATTTCTGTATGTGTGTGTGCGTGCGTGTGTGTAACGTAGTGTGTGACGTCACACACGTCAGTGTATCGTCCGGTGAGCGTCTGTCCGTCACGTCATGTATATCGAGCGTCATGTCCGGTGTCCGTGGACTGGCCACGCGCGTCACGTCCGGGTTGTGCATGTGTATGCGTGTTACATCTTACGTACTAATCAATCAATGTGTGCTCATAACTATATAGTACAAAACAATAATGCGAACCAGTGAGTGTCCTATGATAACTATTATTAACAATATAACGATGTTGATGTTCAGTAGTCGGCCGCTAGTATGGCGTCGATGGAGAAGTCGCTTCTAGCTCGTCGTCGCTGCTCCAGTACTATGAAGGCCCGCACGGTCCGCAGGGCTCCCTGTCCGTCCTCTGCGGGCCCGCCGGGTCCTCCAGGGCCGGCCGCCGGGTGCGCAGGTCCTGCCAGCCCGCTGGGGCCGGGCTCCCCGGGCGCGGCCGGCCTCCACCCCGCCCCGCCGGCCGGTCGGTAAGCACAATCCACATCGTCTATATCGCTCACATCCTCCACGTCAACCATGTCGGTGTCGGTGTCGGCCATGTCGGCCAGGTCGCCGCCCTCGCCGCCTCGCCGGCCGCCGGCTCCCCCCCCGCCGTACGCTGTGTTTCAGCTGGGCTTCTGCTGCATCTCGCGCATCATCAGCTGCGGATAGACATACATATATTATGTTTATATATTAAAATATGTTTATATATGTCTATGTTATCATTACCTGATGTCGGTCGCAGGCTACATTGTCAGCCGGTCGTCCGGGTACGGAGGGAGCTCTCAGTCCCGATCCGTTCTCTCGAGCGCACCTGACCGGCTCGCCGGGTCCACTCACCACTGAACACAAAGCCATCGTTAAATCAACTGCCACACATGTATATATATATGTACATACAAACGTATATACTTACTGTTCTGTTTATTTATGTCTAGCATGTACAAACAAAACACGGTTAATATTATTCGCAGATGTCATTGTTATTGTAACAACACTACTACCTACAGGTTCGCTTCCATGTAAAATTAAATTTTTAAAACTTCGCACAGCAAAACTCTAATGAGACAAACTTCTATACACATGTAACACCAACAATGATACATATTCATGTATATACATATGTGGTATATGAGTTCTGTTATAATTGACTAAAGCTGAGTTCACATAGAAACGTTCGTCAACTTTGACAATTAAAAGTTGAAACGAGCGACCAGGCTGGTGTTAACGATGATTATAACAAATAGACTGTTGTCAGAGGTCATCTTATCTGGTTTAAGGACGTGTACTCACCGGCAAGTGGTATAGCAAGTCGCGCGTTCACTGCTAGTAGGTGATCTCTCCTTTGCAGCAGACTACCGACGTGTTCCTCCAAACGGACGTTCTCAGTCCTCAATTGGTGCAGGCAGGATAACAGCGACGCTACTGCACACATTATACACTATACTGACTCTGTCTGACTATAACTATACTAGTATAGATAGAACTATAGTCTTAGAATTCATTGTAATTAATTACGAACAAAAGCAGTCAGGAAAAAGCAATAGATTAAGAGACGGTAGAATTAATTATTAAAATCAATTTAATCTACTACATACTCTACACAAGTAATGGTTGCTGTAATTTTTCTTGTATACATATATAAAAGCCTATATAAGTATGAATATAATTCTCTCATACTAGATTATAATAGTGGTAGAGGTCAGAAAGCTGCTACATCATATTGTGAGAAGGCTTTACAAGTTAGTGTAATGTCTATATAATCATTGTTTTCTTACTGTCGAAATGTTGTGCTTGTTCCATCAGGAACTGCGATCCTTGTTCCCATTGTCGCTCCAACAGCTGGTCCAGGCTTTGCGCACCAGATCTCTGTGGAGGCAGCGGATCATGTTTAATTATATATATACATATATAATTATATACATATACATTTTCTTGAAACTCCACTAGCTTTGATGCCTATTGGTATATTTTTTGGTGACACCTCCAGTCATGTGGCATCATCGAACTAGTTTCAGAAGAATTTTAGGCCAGAGACGATTGATTTGATCAATATAGTTACGATTTGAACAAAGTTATATAGAACGCGTAATCTTATATATTGCTGAGTCATGGCCACACTGCCACACGGTATGAGTGTGTGTTTGTGCCACACGGTATGAGTGTGTGTTTGTGTGCGTGTGTGTGTGTGCGTGTGTGTGTGCGTGTGTGTGTGTGCGTGTTTGTGTATGTTACCGGTGCGGCCTTGTTGATGAGCGGCGGTGGTATGGGCGTGTCGCTATTGTTAACAGCCCCGGCAGCATGCGCCGCTAATTCCGCCGTCAACTGTTCCTGTAGACGCGCCGCTGCGCCACTTTCAGGGTTCAACTCGTTACCCAACATATGAGGAGCTGAGCAGTTCACACCCAACCTACATATATAGTTATATAAGTCATATATTCTAAGATAAAGTGTATATTATGGAGTGTTCTGTGTTTTATAAGCGTTTAAATACAATATTATTCTGACTATTATAAATCACTGGTTTTTAATTCTGTATGTTTAGTATAAGGCTGTTCATTTTAATCGAAATCAACATATTTTGTTAATATTCTCTAAAGCTTCTATATATCGATAACGAATACATTGTCTCACTTACTTGTGTTCCAATTTCGGTTTCAGCGGTCTCTCAGAGCCTGAATAAATAAAATACGATAAATATACTCATATCCGTGTAATATATAGTACGTGTTGTATAATATATGTATATATACATACCGGGCGAGCTCGGTGGAGAATCTTTGATAGCCTCGTGGTACACGGGCGGCGGAGTCGGTTGGGGTCCGCGACGAACCCCGCTAAGGTTCTGAACTGTGGTTGACTCTGAACAAACATACATACAATATAATGATATAATAAACTAAAATAGCTCTAAATCAGTATTTTTGAATTTGTTGGTCGCGAAGACTTACTCTTGGTGTCGCTGGCAAAAAGAAAGTGTAAAGTTCTAAACTACGATAAAAACCAAATTTTAATGAGAAGGCTAGGCTTGTTTATTTTTTAAAAGCATGTCAAGTCGTGGTGCTATTTTTGAAATATTTTTTATCAAATCAGCTTGTAATTGAAGTTTATTTCTCTTTTTCGTTTTGATGTCCACCATTGTGGTGAATGTCTTTAACTTTAATATGTCTTTAGACTTTTAATTTAAGAGTTTCCTTGCCTGTCTATGGCACAAGGGTGTCACCAAATTTTTTCAATCCGTAAAGGGGTCGCGATATCAAAAATATTGATAAACATTGCTCTCAATAATACCAATCATGTACGTACGCATCGGTGGTGGCGGCGGTGTGTTCGCCGTGGATGTGGCCAGTGCTGCTCTCTTCTTGTTCCGTATGGCCGGCGGTATACCCATATTCGCCATGTTGGCCATATTCGCCATATTGGCCATGTTGGCCATATTAGCCATGTTGGCCATGTTCGCGCCGACGAGCGCCTCCTTGCTGGGCCCGGCTATACCGCTCACACTGAGACCACAACGTCCATCATTAAACACTATTTATATATTAGTTATTAATTCGCAAGCCGGCCGGTCAACTGATCAGCTGACTGGGGTCGATGACCGTTTGTCACAATTGGTCGCGTGTAACACTACACCGACTAATACACAAACGTACACATATTATATACACGCAACAATCGCACAGCCACTTATTGTTTATCATAATAATAAACGTCGTATTATATGCGTGTCTTACTATATATTAATTAGTATAATGTGAGAGCATCAACTCACATCAAAAGTCGCCAAGCATCACTAGTCAACTCATCTTAATTTCAACAATCTGGGATGTATCTTTTGTATATTTATGATGGAGACAAACAGACAAGACAAAAAGATCAGTTTAATACAGTTCAATCAGTGCACGATAAGTAATACATTGTTAATGTACAATCTACACTATGTTAGTATATGATAGAGCACAGCTTATACAATGATATAATATACTGACCCGGGTTTGTTTGGATCCTGTAGCTCGTAGGAGACATTCAGACCGCCCCAGGAGCGTGCGTGAGGTGAGTGACTCAGCCCGGTCTCCATCGTGACCTGGCACAGGTAAATTGTATTGAGATAAACAGATCACAGCATCCCTCCAAAAAAGAACACAGTCATATAGAACATGAGCTTACAACAACTACTGCACAGAATTAGTTCAGCAATAGTAACCGCCAATATTAATGCAACATGTCTTATTATTAAAACATAGTATAGAATACCTCATCAAATAGAGACGACTGCTATTAAGATAACTATTATAAGTTGAACTTTCCGGTACACCGCCAACTATAGTCGACACAGCTCCCGTTTACGTTGGTGTCATAACGGGAGGCCGTTGAATGAAATCTTTCAAGGAAAGTGTGCGTACGAAGACGATTCAGCTGACGAGATATCAACACAATGTATTGAAACGAATACACGACACAAACACACACACACAAAACACTAATTATATATATAAACTTCACGTATAGTTTCTGTATAATATAAAACACAAACAGTCAGTTTGTAAGTCAGTCACGTGGTGTTATATTATAATAGTGAGTAGTGCCAGCCGTCAGGGGTGAGACATGACGCTAGCAGATGGGAACAACCGACAACCGGCGCGCTCGAAGATCGACACGTGAATGACGAGCCGGGCAGGTAGCCGGGCAGGTAGGGATGTTTACTGTAGGGTGCAGCGAGGGTGCATCTAGGGTGCAACGAGGGTGCAGGGTGATGCATCCCGACGGGAATAATCTCAGACGTTACAACACTCGGAATGTTTTAGTAACAATAATATCATTCAGTTACATTAAGAAGTCGTAACATCAACGACTGAAACATGTGCAGCTCACGCTCGCACAATTGTTTTCATTTGACATTTGTTTAGTTAAACAAATTACTTTTTTGTTGCTGAGCCCGACCCGTGGACCGCGAAGGAGAGGGGGGGGGGGGGTTGCAAGACGCTTTTAAGTACGATTTCAATCTTTACATAACTATGATAATAAATATTTGATGATTTTTTTTTTCAATGGTTTCTTTATGTATATTATACATAATGTAATATTAAACATGTTATATTGTATTGAGTACGGACGTCAAATGTTTTTTTGTTCGTCCCCTTCACGAGCGAGATCGCCACTTCACTCGCCGACGGCTAATTTGATTGAAGTTACAATCGATTTATGTTCTGGACGCACATCACAAACAAACACACTCATTACACATACATATATTATATGACACATTCTGTCAGAGGGAACGTTCTACTGAGCTTTATACGACCTCAGTGTGTCTATTTAAGTGATATTCAATCAAATAAATTTCTGTTATATTCAAATAATACTAATAATTTTTAGTTTCACTACGGTTATAGAAAATAGGTACAAAGAAATATTTCTGAGGTTTACGAGGCGAATATGTCGTTTGATAGCTAATTAAAAAAAAAAACATATCATTAATACGAAATCCAAGTTAAACTTAACTTTATTTTGTTTGTAAGAAACAAAACTTATCATTATACCATGTATTCACGGTGCGTGTGCCGGGTTCATTGTTGTAGTGAGAGGAGCTTCAGCAGTGACTGGGACTCGCGACCCAGGTGTAGGTTTAAAGGGCCCTAACTAACTTAAATGCTCACCTCCACCGTACAAGCTCCTCTCTCTACCTAATCAAACTTGAAAAGAACCTACTACGGCTACCTTTGAAGTAAGTTCAAATAATGGATTGATATTAGTTCTGGATAGGCTTCAGTCTTTAGTTTTATTTATACATTTTTGACGTCACACACAGAAGTAACATTATAGACACACAGACAGACGACATATATACGCACACATATAATCATATATACAGGGTGATATCGAATACTCCAACACATGTATACATCGAGTTCACCCTGTACATAATGTTTGTACCTGTTTGTGAGTCTGATGGAAGATATGCCCCATCTCAGGCATTGGGGACGGCAGCGGGATCTATGACACACATACATACATACACACACACATATAAATTTGTATCGTATACACACAGCGGCCTTACGGAGTTCATTATCGATGTGTGTGTAATCTCACCATGCATGTTAGGCCTCCTTTAACCACCGCGCGTAACCCGTAAGCGAAGCTGTCCTCACATGCTATATAGTCATTAGTATGTATGTTTTTTATTAACATATACTATACTTTAATTATGTACGACTCACTAAGAAAAACCATAATCTCGATAGTTCTTTATTAAAACCAACATGTCATGTTTCTTGTGTGTTTGTGTAGTCTGTTGTTTGTTTTCTTATGTCACATTTCGCTACAGCAACAAACGGTATCCCATTCATATATATCTATCTTATCTTAAGGATTCCACATCTTTCTGAACTACACACCGTTTGATTGTTATTTATATCCAAAACTAAATCTTTACGAGGCGTTAACCAATGAAGATGTCACGTTCGTGGTGTATATGTGCATGTGTGTGTGTACATGGGTGTGTACGTGTCTGTGTGTGTACATGTGTGTGTGTGTGCACACCTGTGCGTGCATGAGGGCGTGCGCGTGCGCGGACAGGTTCAGGCCGTGGCTGGCTGACGGCAGCGGCACGGAGACCAGCAGCGACGCGGGCGGCTCGCGCTCCTTCATCTACACCGCAACCGTACCACCGAGTTAATTACCACCACACACTCGCACACACGCACACACAGGCAATCACACACACACACGTACAAGACGAGGCAGCAGGTAGATCGGTATACAGCTCGTATGAGTTCATAGTTCACAAGATCGATGTCTGATATATAGGGCTGGTGTTATTCTAATATTACTCTGCTCATTATATTATGTATTCTATATGAAGCATTTAGGAACATGCTGTATAAGCCCGTGAAGCACGTAATGTGAAGCGTACGGTAGACTGTTAACTCTTGGTTGGGAAGCAATCATCTTCTATGTATCAGTAGTATATAATTCGGGGTATTGGGGTCACTGACCTGATGCTGTGATGGTGATCTTATGTTCGGAGCCTGGTTCATCCCGCTCGGCCCTGGCATCGGACTAGGGAGGTGTCTGAACAATATTATTATGTTTTAGGATAATGACATATAAGGCTTTCGTAATTATTCATTTCAATGAAACTAATATTATTGCACGTTTTTATTATTTTAATCTACATACTACTACTAATACTACTGTCGTTTCGGTTACTTTTCAGAAACTGTGATCACAAAGACGAGATGAATGATTAGTTTCATTGAAATATTTATGATAAGTTTAGTAGTTGTTGTTTATGTATGTGTGTATGTACCTGGGGCTCTGTAGCGATGTGTGTGAGGCAGGGCTGTGTGCGGGCGGCGGCGGGGGAGGGGGCGCCGGGCTCACGCTGGTGTAGTGACCAGCTGAAGATGACCCGCCCTCCGAACCTTCAGTTTTAGCCTGTACAAACAAACACACGTGTCAAATAAACGTAAGTCTACATAATAAACTATCAACATATCTGTTTATGAGCAAAATCATATATGGATATATAGATAAAGTCATGTTAGTTACGCTATTTATAACTTAAGTACGGTTGTAGGGATTTGGATGAAAATTGGTGGAGAGATAGCTTGGAACAAGGAGAGGACATAAGAAACTTTTCATCCGATTAGAATAAGAAAAAAATGAGTTGATCAAATTCAAAATCTTATCTACTGTCATTAAGGAGGAATAGAGTTCGCTCAGTTAGCTATACATTTCTAATTCTGAATTTAACGCAGACGAAGTCGCGTTCAAACATTAGTATATCATAACACCTTGTATAGTAGTATAAGCAGTTGTCATATATTCCATACCTTCTTAATAATCTTCTCTACTTCAACATTAGTGTCATTGTTAGCGTGGCTCGCCTGTTGTTCCCACGTGTTGTTACCCATCTGGTTCGACACCTCCGTCGGCTAATAAACAACAGTACATTATAACAAACAACAAACAACTAACAAACAAGAAACAACTAACAAACAAACCTTGAAGTAATAAATATTGAGTTATTTATTGTTAATCATTTAATAGTAATAAAATATCCAGGTAATGTCGCAACATTACCAAGAGATGGCAGCACTTGTTGAAACAATGATGTGCCCTAGGGGCTAGGAGCTTTATAAGTTGTCTAGATTTTAAGAACCTTGTCTTGTAGAGAAAAATCGCTTCAAACTACAATATTATTCTAGTAGATATGACTTTTATTACTACTATACTATTCTACATACCGCCGGTGAGGCAGCATAGTCCACGGTCTGCTGCGATCCTTGTACAGCCTTCCTCTTCTTGGTCTGTTTAGCATCAGCGGTCTCTGTGTTAGTGATGACTGACTCGTATGGCTTTGTAGGTTGTACGACCGTCGTTGTTGAAGTGCTATGATAAAAAATATATTATTATAATGATCTGTTGAAAAATATACATATCAAAATTTATTTATTTATTTATTTAGGCACACAAACTGAATATAATCCAGATTACATATGAGTTACAGTCTAAAATTATTTTTAGCTTGATTTTATTCCTAAGTATGTGTACACGGTATAATCATTACAAAAAAAATATATTATTGACATGTTATTGTGGTATAATTTATATTCTGGTAGACATAACATGGTGAACAAGACGCCATTGTTACTAAGAAATAAATGCAGTATTACTAGTAAAATCAATATTATATTATATTTATATATTTTGTTTCATTACCTCGGCGGTATAGGTATAGATGCTATAGCCGCTGAGCTGATGATGCCTTCCTTGCCAGGAGACTCCGGTGGCAAGGGGATCTTAGCCGTGTTGATGGGTGTAGAACAACCTCCTATGAGATACATTATTTAGATATTATTTATCACTAATAAGACTATTAATATATGTATTAATAACAAATATGTGTAAGTACTACATGGTGCTATAATGTAAACTCAGGTCTTATCATAAAAAACACAATACAGTCATTTTCTGTCGTTTATTTATACATTTTATTAAACAAATGCAAAAATAATACTGTAAAAAGCAGTGTTATTTTTAAACCTAAAAAAATTCTAGTCCTACTAATATTATAATTGCGAAAGTTTGTGAGCGTGTGTGTATGTTTGTTACTTCTTCACGCTCGAACGGCTGCACCGATTTTGATAAAATTTTGTATACAGGAAGCTGACGTCCAGGAATAACACATAGGCTACTTTACAACCCGGAAATCCCGGAAATCCGCGGGTAACACCGCGAGGCGCAGCTAGTATTTTAATAAACATACTATCTAACTATACAGACTGACTGGTGAATTACTATCGATACTTGAGGACGTGATATTTGACGATCATATATGACAAAATAAAAATTAATATAACATAAATATTAATAAACTTCTAAGTAAAGTTAACCAAAAGTTATGTAATTAATTACGCATCGTGTGAACACCCTACAGATTAGGTATACACACACACACACGCGCGTGCGGCGGCGTGGTGTTGTATCAGCACGCCGCCAGACGCGTCCACACTTGGAACGTGTCCACACTTTATTTATTTATACGGAAATTTGGTCAAAAATTAAGTACCTATTTTTTTTTTATATAATTCGAATGAGAATCATGTACCGAGTATTCTCCTTAAATATTGATAGTAATTCACCAGTCACCTTGTATATACTTACCCACTCATTATAAGGACTTATTCTTAATAACATTTAGTTAATATCATGTTTATGTATTTTTCAGCGCTAAAAATATATTATTACAAGCTAAAATCGTAGCGGTCTTATGAAGATTCTGTTCGATAACCAAGAAATAAACAAAGTCAATAAGGATAAAACTAAAATCATCGTTTATATTTCGAAAAGTGATTTTCGTCTCGTCTGTTCGTGATCACGGTTTCTGCAAAGTAACAGAAACGTTGGGAGTATGCAGTTCAAAATAAATACACTCGAAAGTTTTACTTCAATGAATACAGACGAAAAACTTGGATATCAATGTCACTAGGAATATAATTGAACCTATGACAATTGTATTTTTTTAATCTAAGACATGTGAAAATTGAGTGTATGTAATTTTATTGAAATAAAAATATTTAAGAGAAACTAATATTTTTCAACATATACTACGGGTGCTTTATTTTTGTAAAAATAAACTACATACTCGCGAAATATCGGCTACTTTTCAGCAACCGTGATTACGGGCAGACGGGATGTGTATGTCTGTCAGTCGGTGTAGTGTAAATGAAACCAATAGTTTTATTTATAAAAATACTCGCAAAGTCTTAGATTTCATTAATAATAATATTACTATAAAATACATCATCAAGAGTAATGGCACAGTAGCTGGTATGGCGGTAACTATTCATACCATACGTTCCAGGTTCGATTTCTGATCATGTTAATTATTCTATGTAACTATATGTATGATGTACCTTTAGTGTGTGTATCTTGTATGTGTTGTGGTGATGGTGACGGGGCCGGTGTACTGTTCTTACTGCCGCTCTCAGCCACAGAGCCTCTACGAGACGGAGAAGGCTTCTTCTTATCTGTTGAAAGATTGTACATGTAAGAATTATATATATACTTACAATTACTACATTTATTGACTTTGCATCATCAAACATCACATATAAATCATATAAAATTGATGATACAAACTCTCACATTTATATGATATGAATTCTTTCGATAGATGAGTACAATGTTTATAATAAAGAAAAATATCAAAAGCAAGCTCCATATTAAAATGATGACAACTAATCGACATACATATACATCATATATACATTCGTACCAGCTAAACAAAGCCTATATACAGTAACCTAGTACGATGCATAACATTTAAAATAATACGAAGCCCATGTATGTAACATGCCATGTGAGTGACGTCACTATTCTATTCTAATATGACCAACTTTTATCGCAGCCCTTATGTTTCCTCGGCGACGGCTCTACGTCCTGACAGGTCTCTGCGTGCGTTCATACAAAAACTCATTAAATAACAACGTATATTGTTTTATAGTGTGAAAAAAATACTACTCAATGTTAAGTACTTAGATACTTGAACTATTCTCGTAGTCTATCGCACTGAATACTACTCAGAGGAGGAAGATTAGACTACTCTATAAAATTGTAATGATATAATGTCTGGTAGTAGTTGTATATACTGACCCATCGGTTGGCTTGTGTTGGTTGGCGTCTTGGAGGAATTGGGTGTGTTCTTCCCGGAAGCGCCGCCGCTCGAGTGTGACGACTTCCGGCCGGGCTGAAACAGAACAACGTTATACATACTACGTTAGAGATAGGCGTCAACATCACAAGCACTATATAACATCAGTATCATAGCAATTCGTAATATTCCATTTATAAAAAAAAAAAATCAACGGAAAGGAGATTATATCGAACAAACTGTTTTGTTTCCATCGGCTTGAATGTTCTAAATATATATATATACATATACAAATATATATGTGTGTGTGTGGCTGTGTGTGTAGGTGTGTCTGTGTGTGTGTAGGTGTGTGTGTGCGTGTGTATGTATGTCCGTATCCAGTGTCCGGTGTTACCCCTCGCTTGCAGTGCGTGGCCGGCGGCTCCCCCTCCCTGTCGCTCGAGTCGCTGCTTCTATCGTGACTGACCGGCTTGTACGGCGGGATCGTCTTCACGTTACCGCCTTTTTTCTGCACAATCAACACATCCTCACTCCCAAACGACAAGCACACCTAACAAACCGGCTGACAGTAAACAGCCGATATAGTTTTTTCGTTTATAATCTACTTCCGGTTTATGGTTATCATGAAATATTCTGTGCCTTGCGATGACGGTGACATCGTGATAGAGCAAAACAAAACAAACAAATATATTGCAAATGTATGATAATGAACAATTCTAAAACGCAAAATAAGAAAACGAAAACTTGTAAGAGTTACATGTATATATAATTAAATATATTTATTATAAATATGTATATAAATGTATGTAATATTTAGTGTACATTATATGATAGACATTGTCGTTGTGTTTTATGAGTCAGTATGTAGCAGACCTTTACGTCGACATGTGTCAAATGAATGTGACATTTAATCTGACAGCTGTGTCTAGTGAAGTTAATGGCAGCCATTTTGTTTGATTGTAATGATAATAGAGACATGCAGATTATAAAAAGTAAAAATGTTCCGTTAAGAAGCTGTGAAAGCGATAAGCACGAAGGCAGAATACTTAAGAAAAATATTCTAAAATCATTATGGAAGGTTTCTTGAAATATTTAAATGAGGTTTCATATTTACATTAACCTCAGTCGCTGATTTAAATTAAATTACTTATGGTCACAGTGAAATTTTAATATCCTTACCACTTCTTTTGTTTACACTAAACTTATAATAATTTCTCTAACCAACATATCGTAGTGACGACACACACTAGACTATCACAAACATCATTAACTGTATTGTTTCCCATCTACCCACAACTTTGTCCTTATAGCCAAACTGAATATCTCACCACAAGTGACCTTCAAACATATCAAATGATATAATATGTTGTACAAGGATAATATTTATATGCTTATATGCTTGTTTATATACTATTTATATTATTAACTCGGCTTCCTGCTCATAATGACATAGACTAGTTAACTCTGTGACTTGAGTATCTGTGTATTAATACTAATTTCTTTAGATATATCATTCTTTTATCAAAGTACCACAACACCTACACATATATAGTAACATTTACACCTTGTTATAATACAATAGTGTCAGCTATCACCATATTAGTGTTACAATTATCATCTATAACCCTTCAACTATCTACATATTAAAGTGTTCATATTTTATACTAACAAGTTTGCTGTAGTGATGTTGGCAGTAGCCGCAGTATTTAACGTTGTCCAGATAGTTGCCGGCCTCCTCGCACAGCAGCCCGAGGGACTGGGCGCAGGTCACGTGGAACTGCTGTTTACAACCTGATGATACACAGACACACATACATATTAATATTTATTAAGTTGGAGATACAATTATTACTCTATTGTCATTGCTTCAGCCATAATCTATATATATAAAAATGAATTGCTATTCGTGAGTCTCACTAAAACTCGAGAACGGCTGAACGGCTAATATTATCTTAGTCTTGAAACGTTCGTGGAGGTTCAAGTAAGGTTTAAAAACTAAAAAAAATTGATTCATTTCCGGGAAAACCCTAAACACAGCTCTTTTCTATTTCCCATACAAACCTCTTTTTTTGACATTAGATTTGTCAACTAACTAATAACATTTTGTCGCACTTCAGAGTACGAAGATTTATGGCTTCAAAATAAACTCAAAAAAAAAGAAAATATTTATTCATCGATTGAGGCAGTATGAGGTCTGCTGTAGTCTATAATAAAATTCTGATTTATCTGATTGTTTCTATGGAGTATATATCCTACTAATATTATAATTGCGAAAGTTTGTGTGTGTGTATGTTTGTTACTTCTTCACTCTCAAACGGCTGAACCGATTTTGATAAAATTTTGTATACAGGAAGCTGACGTCCAGGAATAACACATAGGCTACTTTACATCCCGGAAATCACGGAAATCCGCCGGTAACACCGCGGGGCGCCTCTAGTATATCTATATTTTGTCCCAGTAATTTCAGTCTATAACTTAAGTTTTAATGTTTATTATCAATGAATTACCAGATTTGTTGCATTGCATGCAGGCGCCGGCGTTGGCGCGATGAGTTTTGCCAAGATCCTGGCAGATGTAGCAAGTCTGGAAACAAATATTATATATAAAGTAATTGTTCAATTTTGGATAACAGTATAATAACAGTTAATAATAAAACTAAACCATATAGAGCCATAAAGATCTGAAAGCACATTATTTCCTTAATTTTAAGAATAGTTTAGCAGATTTGTCCATTATTATATATGAATGGTAGTTACAATCCATTTTGTTTGTCCTACCTTATTATATCTCTCAGCGGGAATGAGTCTCAGTACGATCGGCTCCATAGACGTCACGTTCCCGAAACGTACTTCAGGTATGTAGAGAGCGCAGACGACGTGGGCCCAGCCACCTGTGTCTGTACGCTTCAAGGCACCCAACTTAGACGGGCAGAGTTCGCATCTCTGAACAGATACACAACTTATTAATAAATAACACAAACATTGTATGATATAATACAATAGGTGGGTCACAAAAGGTAGCTACAACCATATCATCTAATAGGATACACCGTGGTCATTACAGCCAGTCGAAATGATTGCTATATGTAAAACCCTCGCCCTGTTTATCGATTTACATACAATTTTTTGTATATTAAACTGTCAATGAACCAATGAAAGCCCTCGCTTGTTATGAAGGTAGTGACTCGTAATGAATGAATGCTATGCTCTATACTAACCACTTTGCTTTTAGTCTCAGGGCTCTCACACTTCCTGCAGTACCAGGGACCGGTCGGAACAGCAATGATTCCATAGCAGGCTGTAAAAATTCACACAGCAACATAATAGCATGCCAAAAAAAATGCTCTATCTAAAACCAAAAAGAAAGAAAAAAGAAAAACGTGTCACAACTAATAACATGTCCACTATAGTGTGTTATATGTGTTTATATTACCTTGGTGCACCGCAACCGAACATCCATTGCCGTCGCAATAGACCAGCGGGTTGTCGGGCCAACCTCGCTCGTCTGAACACACACAGCAACCACCAACCATCTCCTTCATAATCTCCTTCATATTGAAGGAAGCATTATTGCACACCACCTGACACGGCAGTTATATACAAATTAACATATTATATACAACTAATACTCATTACATACTTCAATATTGTCAAACTTGATCTTAAAAGAGACAATGAATACATATAAAATCAAAGTATGAAATGAATGAAGAAGCGATACTGTATTCCATGCACTACTTCTTATGAAAAATGTAATATTAAAATCTGTTTGAACAAAACATTATCATTTGGAATGCTTGACATTATGTTTTGTGATACATATGAGGGGTAGCATCAAGAATGTACCAATCAAAATGAAAAACGTGAAGTGACTAATATTAGCTTGGAATGAGCCTCAAATGGAGATGGGAGAGTTCGTAATAGTTTAGTTTTTGGCTTAATTCACTAGCAATGTACACACACATCACAAGCAAATGTACATAATGGATTAAGTTTGATATAAAACACAATTATGTAATAACAAAGGTATGATTTGTATGTAAAACACCAAATTTGCTATGTAACTACCGAGATGGAACCTCAATAGTTAAAGTATAAAGAGCAGATGACTGAAATGTAACCCGTTATATGATGGTCTATGTCTACCGCGTGCAACATCAATAAGGAATGTTTGTACTGTGAACGGCCTGTTCAAATTGTATTTGATATGCATTATAATTGGCAAAAACCTATTGTGTTACTTAGAAAAGCAGAATTATATGTTCTTTTTGATATGAGGAAAGTTTAAATATCTTTTAAATGAACTATGTATACAGTAATCTGGATAAAATCAAAGTAATCAATATGGCACACTCATTTAGTATGAAACTATTATTTTTAGATAGATCTTATTAAACTCTCCACAAGTGAATTTTATTTATATAAGACTCAGTTTTATTTTAATATCGACACAAGAACACGGAGATCTTATGTATATTTGAAACATCTTCAATTTTATATAAAACTAACTTAAATGTTTGTTAAAACAAATGATACTCACAGAAACTAATACTTCACTGTTATGAAACAAACCAAAATGGTCTTTATGTATCAAACACAATCACCTATGTTTATTTCACAAACCAATACTCAGATTATAATGTACATATACTAATTAGTTTTGTTTCAAAACCCTTCTCTACTCAGTAATGAAGCGCTGAGCTGCCATTTTACTGTGAACTATATCAACTGTTGCTTGACATGTGCACAATGCACTGATCAATAACTCAGGACCTACAGACACACCTTCTGCGCCGGTTCGTTACGTAACGTTATATGTAACACAAACATATTGAGTGATGCGCCGCTAGCTATTAGAATCCTGTTTTATCAATGAGAAAGCCAATTATACTTAGATACAATCTGAACTGGCGTCTCGTGAACCATGTATAATGATAACCAAAATACAATGTCCATCTTAATCATATTGTATATTTACCACAAAATAAGACACATCCGTTCATTGTTGTATATAAATCCCGGCACTACTTATTCAATCATCTTTTCTTTTCATTATTGACAAGCATGTCGCCTCACCTGCTCCTAGCGTTATCGAATTAAATGTAGACAAAACTCTCGATACTAATTATTTTAAATTAAAAAAAAAACACAAGATAAACACAAACAACGACTGTATGCCGATCGATATTTTACAAGCCTTATTAAAAACCTCCTTTAGCTTCCATTACACAGACCATGTTGATTTTCAACTGGGTAATGGATGCATTTGCATTTTGTTTTGGTGATGCAAATGCGAGAAAGCGTTTACGGAGCTTGGTATAAGCCAATAAATTTTAATTTAAAGATTCTATTGAAAATAAATTTAAAATTTATAATCGTAGTATTCTTTATTAATTTTCTGATGTAGAATATAAGAAATTAAATATTTTTCATGATTATTTTTTTTATTATTTTTAATCTGTGACAACCGACAACGGACAACGTAGTGTTATCAGGTCATTCACGAAAGCAATATTTAATGTTTTATCTAAAATTATGTAATATAACTTGGGTATAAAAGTACTTAAAAACCTTTCCAACTGTAATTGCTCCTGATTGACAATATTTCACAATATATTCTTTAAAAAAATATACCTATTCTGTTCACATATTATAATATATTCCTTTATTTATTTATGTTGACTAAGAAAAAAGAATATTATCAAATTTATTACTCAATATTACTGAAACATACTTTTAAATTGTCGTTTTCTCTATTTTAATTATATTTTATCTCTGGGAATTGTTTTCCCCATAGATGTATCATATTAAAACTATATATCGAGTTGCCTGGAAGCGATAAGCAATTAATTATTATTTTTGCAAAGAATCCAGGAAGCATACGTAGTTATTTTATTGAAGAGACGTGTGTTGAAAACTGCTGAATGCTGATACTAATGCTTGTCAATTATTTTAAATTTTATTTTTCAACGTCCGTAAATATTACCACTTGTATTTACCATATATGAACAGTGTTTAAAAATTTAAATATGAATATACTTGACAAAAAATTTGTCTATTTTAGTATATTCTTTTATGGATTGTATAAGTTTGTGTACGATTAGTTAAATAGTTTGTGGACATACCTTATATATCCTAAATATTTAATTTTAATCATATTTATCACACAATATATTTTATGTGGAATTCCCTTTTTGATTTTTGATAAACCTCTTGGTTTACATTCTGTTGAACCAAAGTCCAAACGGTCAAAAACTGCATATGGTTTAGAGCGGTTCCTGTGACACATGAAATTCTGCAACGTAATACACATATTCGTTGGACTCCAAAAGAGAGTAAATTTGTTAATCTTGCTGGACATCGAAGGATTTCGTCTACATTTTATTTTTTATACGAACTTTAAACTTCTTAAAATAAAATTTATTAGGATAATGTAAGTGATAGACTGATAGTTTGCTACAGAGAGGACTGTAATGAAGTATTACATTATGGCAAAAATTTATCTTTGTACCTACGGTGAAACAATTAACAGATACCTATCCAATTCTCTTTGGAGAGTTAAAAAGACTGGAAAAACAGACAATAATGGAGTCTAAAGAGTTGGAATTACAATACTAGTGATAATAGTCTACGAAGGTCCAAACCAAAACGGTTTACACTGAAAGCCTGTCTCAAATCTCAATCCAACGCTTCACAAGCGTGTCCCTGAATCAATGTAATTTAAATAGCGTTACATATAAACATTTCGTCAGCACACCATTCCTTGACGATTAGTTATTTTCATATGAAATAAATAATAAACTATATTTCAATATTGGCTGAATAATGTAATCATAACTAAGATTTATACTTGCGTTCGCGCGTAATGATAGTGACGTTTTGACTTAGAGGTTAGAATTTAATATTGTGTGCTACGCACACAAATATAATGTTTTTCTGTATGGTTGTTTGTTTTTATTTAAACAATATTTAGTAAGGTTAAGATTTAAATATTGTGACAATGTGGGTATTTGAAATAGAGAATTATTCTCGTCTAAAAATCTCCATAGAGATGACGTATTTACAATATGACAGCAAAACCGTCAGAAAACCTAGAATTATGTAATTATGTTAAACACGAAGAATATCAGAACCTAAATCCAGTCGATGGATTTCATATTCAGCATTAAGAATTTACATATAATTTTAATGTATTGAATCATTCAATGAAAACTCATGTCGACGTTTCTTTGTAAGTTGGTCTTTTGTAGAGGCAGTGGCTGTTTGAATAACAATCGTGTACTGTCACTGTCAGATTTAAAATGGCGGTCCGAGTTATATAACGAATTAGTTCATGTGATGAATTTAACTACTTCATTATTATTATCTATGTTTGGTCGTGGAAATTTTGTCAGAGTTTTAACTATATTATCCTGTTATGTTGGTTTGATATTAATGTACCTTATATGTAATTATATATTAATATTATTGTTTTAAATTAAGTAAAATAAATCTGATAAGGGTACAGATTATAACTAATTTTTTTATTGATGATCCGTCATTTCGTTTTACGTGATACGTATGGATTATGTTACAATTATTTTTATTCTGATTATAAAAAAATAAGTCATGTTCTCATAAAGTCATTATCACTGGCGTGTTAATGACTATTATATATATATATATAACGTACACAGCCGTGACTGTCGATGTTTAGAAGTAAAATTGACAATGGGATCTTGATCCCGGGGTAGTGACGTCATCAGCTGTAGCGGGATAGACAGGGAGTCGCCTGGACATCGATCCGACTTCAAAGTCGTCTCCGGGCCAGGGTTGGCGCCGAAAATAACAAACAGCGTGGCCTTGAGAACATAGACTAACTGCACTTACGTACACCTAACAAATAGAAAGTTTAAATCCCGTGCTACGTAGAGATGAAGTAAATAAACAATTTAATATTTATCCTGAATTACAATTTATAAATATTAACTCCTACAAAAGTTTCAGTATCATTGTATCGTCTTTTTGAGGGAAGTATTAAAGTATAACACCAGTCAGTATATTGGTAGGAGGGTAATTTTCCACAAACCGACAAGCACTGTCAATTAATACGACTGTGTATTGTCACCTTTATATTTCTGATAATTCCGTATTTGCGGTCTCCGATGCCTCTGTTTACGAAAACCGACACTAGCCATCCGATGCTACGTACAACGTAAACTTATGCAATGAAACTCGTTTTCCATGCAACAAAACATGCATCTTCATTTAAATATTTTAGTTTTATATAAGAATATAATATTTTTTTTACTTTATTCACGTATTTCTATTTTGCCGCTAAATAGTTTTATCGTACTAGACCTATGATGATTTTTCTTCCTTAAATTTTCCGTCAACGTAAGATAAAAATATACATGTATCTATCTGCTAAAACAATATTTTTCAAATAATTCGTAAAACATCATTACAATAGAAAGTACGTCTTGTTTGAAAACAATTTTTTCATATGTACATGTTTTAATTAATTATTAAAGAGTTTGAGATATTTTAATGTAGTAAGACCTCTCGTATCAAGATGAGCAAGAATTACGAAATGTTTATT